GCTATGATTGGCTTTCTTGATTGTTAGTGACTGATTTTCTCGATCATCCTCCATTGAAAGAAACTCAAGAACAACCCCAGCTGAGTGTTTTTATATAGAATGAAAAAGGTAGCGAATGATGTTTGTGAGTAGTTGTGAGATAGTGATGGCTGAGATTGCACAAAAAATGGAGATGGGTAGGTACGTATGACCCCAAAAGTCTCAAAATACAATCTCAAGAGACCTCAGATGGATCAAAGCGATAGCTACCAGAAAAGAAGAGACTATAAGAAACCCTAGTAGTGAGCTAATAAAAAGAAGATTATACGAATCAGGAAGAGGCGGTTATGCTTAGTTGAAAAGATGATTAACAAAGCGAGAAAGGAGAGGAGAGATACAGTAGGAAAGTATGAGGGGTACCCTCATAATCCCAGCTCGAAAATTGAGCTCCTCAATGAAGATATGAAGATCCAAATTAAGATCAGTGATGATCAGATCATGAAACAACGCTGGTAAATGAAAACCCAGAGAGAGAAGACTGAGAAGATGAAAGAAGAAGAAAGCTCATCAAAGGTTAAGGATTAGGAAGAGTCATTCTTAACTGCTTTGTGGAAATTTACTGTCACGTTCTTAGACCCTTTCCCTCTTCTACCGGTTTTTGAGAATCTCTACTCACACACTCACCCCTCTCTCTCTCTCTCTCTCTCTCTCTCTCTCCAACTCCTCATCTAGAATCCAAGTTTGAATCGAATTAATTGACCACAAAACAAAAAGGTCATCGTACTAGTTGTGGAGTCCCAAGTAAGGAAGGACTTGGAAAAGACTAGGAAAAAAGATTTTCTTCCACCCAAAAAAAAAAAGGAAAAAGGAAAAAAGAAAATAAAATTCTCTTTTTCTTCTTCTTATTAAGCCTTAATTAATGTTTTCCTTGACTATTAGGGTAAGACTGGAGAACTTTCTTGGATAGGACTCAATTAACTGAAATCTCGCAGTCTAATTAATCAATAAGATCTTCCAATATTTTCCTCCAATAAAAAGATTTCAGTCAAATTTTTACAGCCAATGAACATTTTATTCGTCTTTTCAAACAAAGAAGGTTTCATAGAATGGAAAATCTCAGAAATCTCAATTGATTCTTATCTCTATCTTCATTTACAATCACCCTAATTATCTTATCTCTGATCAATCTCCAACAATCGAACTTAAGAGAGTAGTCAACTCAAGTCTGAATACTTTATAATAAAAAAAACTATCTAAAGTGAACTTTTACGCGCAGGACTCATCTCTCAAATTACAAAATCAAGATTTGAATCACATCAAAGACATGGTATATATAGGCGGCATAAACGAATTAGTCCTTACTATGTCTAAGACCTAAATTCGATCTCCATCACAATTTGCTTAGTAGTTCATGTATCACTCTCCTTAGAAATAGACTAGAAACTTATGATCATCACATAGGAGGTTTGAAGTTTGAATCTCATCAAAAGTCAGAGAGAAAAAATTAATTCTTACCGAGTCTAAGATATAAATTCAATCCCCACAAGTTGCTTAACTATTCAAATCCTTCTTCCCGAGTATGCTAGATTAGATACATCTATATTTGCAATACATTATCAAAATGGTCTATTTGACTATGACAAGTGAAGCCAAGGTAGTGATCACAACATTCACACACACACACACACACATATATATATATACTTGTGCATTGATTTTCTTCAATTCAATGAAGAAATTAATTACCTAATTGAATCTGCCAATAACTACACTTGTACCACGCGGTTTTGAACTCNTCTCTCTCTCTCTCTCTCTCTCTCTCTCTCCAACTCCTCATCTAGAATCCAAGTTTGAATCGAATTAATTGACCACAAAACAAAAAGGTCATCGTACTAGTTGTGGAGTCCCAAGTAAGGAAGGACTTGGAAAAGACTAGGAAAAAAGATTTTCTTCCACCCAAAAAAAAAAAGGAAAAAGGAAAAAAGAAAATAAAATTCTCTTTTTCTTCTTCTTATTAAGCCTTAATTAATGTTTTCCTTGACTATTAGGGTAAGACTGGAGAACTTTCTTGGATAGGACTCAATTAACTGAAATCTCGCAGTCTAATTAATCAATAAGATCTTCCAATATTTTCCTCCAATAAAAAGATTTCAGTCAAATTTTTACAGCCAATGAACATTTTATTCGTCTTTTCAAACAAAGAAGGTTTCATAGAATGGAAAATCTCAGAAATCTCAATTGATTCTTATCTCTATCTTCATTTACAACCATCCTAATTATCTTATCTCTAATCAATCTCCAACAATCGAACTTAAAAGAGTAGTCAACTCAAGTCTGAATACCTTGTAATAAAAAAAACTATCTAAGGTGAACTTTTACGCGCAAGACTCATCTCTCAAATGACAAAATCAAGATTTGAATCACATCAAAGACATGGTATATATAGGCGGCATAAACGAATTAGTCCTTACTATGTCTAAGACCTAAATTCGATCTCCATCACAAGTTGCTTAGTAGTTCATGTATCACTCTCCTTAGAAATAGACTAGAAACTTATGATCATCACATAGGAGGTTTGAAGTTTGAATCTCATCAAAAGTCAGAGAGAAAAAATTAATTCTTACCGAGTCTAAGATATAAATTCAATCCCCACAAGTTGCTTAACTATTCAAATCCTTCTTCCCGAGTATGCTAGATTAGATACATCTATATTTGCAATACATTATCAAAATGGTCTATTTGACTATGACAAGTGAAGCCAAGGTAGTGATCACAACATTCACACACACACACACATATATATATATACTTGTGCATTGATTTTCTTCAATTCAATGAAGAAATTAATTACCTAATTGAATCTGCCAATAACTACACTTGTACCACGCGGTTTTGAACTCTGTTTCTGTATAACTTCTCAATATTGCCCTTGAATCTCTGACCCGAATATAAAAAGGGTTACTCCCATTTTGTCCATTAAAAGATACAAAAAATTTCAATTTGTCTTTTGAATGATTAATTTTTTCGTACTACCCCCTCAAACAAATAAAAATGTGACAATGTGATCTACCATCTTATTTTTGTTTGGTCGTCCATCTGTTTTGTGACTCTTAATTGATTGATTTGACACAAAACATTCGGAAGACCAAACAAAAATAAGACGACATATCACATTATAATACTTTTATTTCTTTGGAGAGGCAATGTAGAAAAATTAATTATTTGGAGACAAACCAATAATTTTTGTATCTTTTAGGGGTAAAGTTGGATTTTCAGTAGAAAAGATAACAAGTGGTGGGGAAAAGATTTATAGGATGTGGAGAGGGCAGCCAATCACAGAATTATTCTTAAATGTAGAATGGGATTTTGTGGCAAGATATTGTATAAGGTTGTTTGGACCCCACAACCACAAGGTGTTGTTCACATTATGTACTTAATTATAGTTAATAGGTTTGAACCTTTTAAAAGTGACGTTCAAATTTAGCCCAAACTTATAAGGTGCTGACCCACATTGAAAAGTTTTCGAAGATTGGGGGAGGAAAACATAATTACTTAAACCACTTGAAACAAAATTTGAATGGGTTTTATTATATTTTGTAGCACACCATATACAAATTAAGAATCAACAATAACGTTCGTAATCAACGAGCATTTGATTTAATGATATTTCTTACCTTATAAAAAGTTTGTCTTCTTAAAATCAAGGGTTCAACATCCCTAGACNAACAAAATTTGAATGGGTTTTATTATATTTTGTAGCACACCATATACAAATTAAGAATCAACAATACCGTTCGTAATCAACGAGCATTTGGTTTAATGATATTTCTTACCTTATAAAAACTTTGTCTTCTTAAAATCAAGGGTTCAACATCCCTAGAAAACAAAAAGTGTTATTAGTTGGTAAGACGGACCCTAATTGCTTAGACGAATCATATCCAAGTCTTTAGTGTGAATTTGAATCCCCACCAAAATGTAAGTCTTGATTTAATTGGTGTATAAATCAAGGGACCAAGTCATACACCCAAAATTTGTCCTCGATTCTACTCGGACTTACGAGTTTGAGTGACATAAAATATATATATATATATAACATTGCAATTCTTATAGATTCGAGTCTTTTTTTTTCCCTGTTATTGTAGATAAAAACGAGTCATTTGTGTGAAGTCTCTTCCAACTAATTTTATACTTTTTGCTATAAAATTTCATTTGAATTAGTGTCTACACGTAGGTCTCTTTCATTTTATTATTATTATTATTATTTAGTAGTAGGAGAGTGGTGTGCCTCCAAAAGCATTAAATACAGCAGATAAGCTATGTCTAAACTTGATGCTAGGAAAAGGAACCTCAGAATTCAAATAGGACCACTATGTATCTGTGCGTCCTCGTCGATATATGATAACAAATCTACTACTAAGAAAATTTGAGAAAAAATGTGTTATTTGTAATCCTATGTAACAACCCCCCGGCCCGGCCACCCCGGGACAGGCGGCGGTATACTACCAATTGATGTGGAATGAGGAATTTTTTCTATTTGGTCTAGTGAAGAGCATGCAATTGGTCTCTCTTACGCAGGATTTTATCATCAACGCAAAGGGTGCCTAAATCTGTCATTGAAATTCAATTAGTGTGTAAATATTCAAGCCTAAGATTGCAACAATCCATCCCTCGGCAGACAACCTAGACCCCACCCCTGGTTCAGACAAAGCATCCCCCCCTTGTGTCTCGCCCCTGATTTAGCCAACCCTCTCAATTTATCCAATACTTTTGTCCTCTTTGGCAAATTATGTAGTACATATTAATGAGGGACCCATTTATACCGAATGGGTCCACCCACATTCGCGATTGGCAAAATCTGCCAAAGAAAAAAAAACAGTGAAAATGTATCGAAGGGAATCTTCCTCCACTAAACTATCACCACGTCCTCGAATTAGCAAAAACCTACAGAGAGGAGAAACCCAGATATATGTAATTCAGAGTAAAATCGAATTTGAATCAATTGCTTTCTCCATTTCATATATCAAACGATATACAATGAGCTGCCCCAATGTTGCTGGTTGTATAACTAGATAACTGCATCATATACTAAAGACAGCCAAGTGCCATTGTCACAGCGTCCCTCACTGAGACAGCACCCTCCTACAAGGAAAAACTTTGTACATGTATAAACCACCAAATAAGGGCCATCATCAGCGGCCCAATGAGACAGCACACTCGTACATGGAAAAAGTTCAGGACGTGTAAGCCATACCAAACAATTCCATGCAATAAACTCGAAGACAATGACTCACAAAGCTTCAAGAGTGGTGTAGTGGGAGTTTTCTACATTACAATCTTAGTCTGACTATCCAAGTTAGCGAAGGAAAGGTATTCCTACACAACTGTTATTACCTCCTACGAAAAGTAAAGGAGTTGGAGGAATCCTAATATGTATCATTGGCCATAGTGGCACTCTTGTCGCCAACACAAGTTCAAAACTAAAATCCAAGATCAACTTTCTATCTGTACATCTCTCGTCTAATGTACAATCTAACCACCACTACGAAGGGTCACCCAATCAGTTCATAAGTTCCTACCCAAATGGACAAGATTCCGGTGGAGCAACTTTGGACTCAAACCTTATCTGGCCCAACCTAATACCACCCAGAAGAGATCCACTGCTGGCTACCTGTGAGTTACATAGCCGATTAAAAGGACTTCTTGTTTTCCAATGCTGCATAATGACATGAAATGTCAATGCACTGAATGTACAAGCAGATGATGTAACTTAAAATGTGAAGAGCATCAAAACTGAACCATTGTCTCAGCAATTCAAGATCTGATACAACACAATTCACTATATTTTATACATATCGTCACCCCTTTTTATGTCCCACTAATTCAGTGACAAAGCATTTTTTTCCTGTAATTTTGATACAGGAAGAAAGTTTTTCAAAATGAAGGGAAAAAAACCCAAACTACAACTATGAAAATACCACCACCAGCCCCAACAACAACAAAGCAAAAGAGGAGGAAAGCATAGACAAAAACAAATAGATTGCTTCTTTTTCTAAGGGGCAGTTTTTGGGTGGGTTTTTGGTTCAGAATTTTTTTTCTTTTTTTTGGTTTTGGGGGGAGTCCTGCCAAAAGGTAACTTAAAAGTACCTCAAAGTTATTATTTATTGAGCTTGTGAGTGCATGGAAGATTGGTATTCCAACATTTCTGTCCGGTATCTCTCCTTGTCTCTCAACCCTTTCTCCTGATACACCTGCAAAGCAGAACCAGCAAGAATCAAGATAACCAGAAGTTGTGTGAGAGTTTTCTTTCACATGTAGGTATGCAAGAGTTCTTGCAATTATTCTTCAGCAGACGGGAGGAAAACCACATTATGCATTTGTTATTCCTGTTAAATTTCTTTAAAACTCGTCCTTTCCCCCCTAGAAAATAACAAGGGCTCCCATCAGAGATTACAATCCCCACAAGACATAACTATCAGATAGCTTGAAGTTCTATATTGCAATCTTTGCGAATGATAATTTTTTTCTTCGGAGTTATCAAACCAAGTAAACATTAATAAGGACTACAACAACCCCTCAATTCTGCTATAGTCAAATTCCAATTTTAGTTGACAGAATTACTCATTCTCTCCACTGAGCAATGACCCAGCTGATTTTCAGATTTTACTGGGACATCTTTACCTGATTTTTCTAGTGAGCTAGTTCGCACTTTAAATAAGGAAAGAACAGAAAGAAAGCAAAGTATATTATCAAAAACAATCACTGGTGTCTATTTGTTTTTCCAGTATCAAAATCTGCCGGGAGTTGAGAAAAAATAATAAGAATCAAAAAACATATGCTTACTAATATATGGTGTCACTTTTGAGATCTTTTTTGTTAAAGAAATGCCGTTTTGGAATTATTTGGAATTTTAGAATGGNATCTCTCGTCTAATGTACAATCTAACCACCACTACGAAGGGTCACCCAATCAGTTCATAAGTTCCTACCCAAATGGACAAGATTCCGGTGGAGCAACTTTGGACTCAAACCTTATCTGGCCCAACCTAATACCACCCAGAAGAGATCCACTGCTGGCTACCTGTGAGTTACATAGCCGATTAAAAGGACTTCTTGTTTTCCAATGCTGCATAATGACATGAAATGTCAATGCACTGAATGTACAAGCAGATGATGTAACTTAAAATGTGAAGAGCATCAAAACTGAACCATTGTCTCAGCAATTCAAGATCTGATACAACACAATTCACTATATTTTATACATATCGTCACCCCTTTTTATGTCCCACTAATTCAGTGACAAAGCATTTTTTTCCTGTAATTTTGATACAGGAAGAAAGTTTTTCAAAATGAAGGGAAAAAAACCCAAACTACAACTATGAAAATACCACCACCAGCCCCAACAACAACAAAGCAAAAGAGGAGGAAAGCATAGACAAAAACAAATAGATTGCTTCTTTTTCTAAGGGGCAGTTTTTGGGTGGGTTTTTGGTTCAGAATTTTTTTTCTTTTTTTTGGTTTTGGGGGGAGTCCTGCCAAAAGGTAACTTAAAAGTACCTCAAAGTTATTATTTATTGAGCTTGTGAGTGCATGGAAGATTGGTATTCCAACATTTCTGTCCGGTATCTCTCCTTGTCTCTCAACCCTTTCTCCTGATACACCTGCAAAGCAGAACCAGCAAGAATCAAGATAACCAGAAGTTGTGTGAGAGTTTTCTTTCACATGTAGGTATGCAAGAGTTCTTGCAATTATTCTTCAGCAGACGGGAGGAAAACCACATTATGCATTTGTTATTCCTGTTAAATTTCTTTAAAACTCGTCCTTTCCCCCCTAGAAAATAACAAGGGCTCCCATCAGAGATTACAATCCCCACAAGACATAACTATCAGATAGCTTGAAGTTCTATATTGCAATCTTTGCGAATGATAATTTTTTTCTTCGGAGTTATCAAACCAAGTAAACATTAATAAGGACTACAACAACCCCTCAATTCTGCTATAGTCAAATTCCAATTTTAGTTGACAGAATTACTCATTCTCTCCACTGAGCAATGACCCAGCTGATTTTCAGATTTTACTGGGACATCTTTACCTGATTTTTCTAGTGAGCTAGTTCGCACTTTAAATAAGGAAAGAACAGAAAGAAAGCAAAGTATATTATCAAAAACAATCACTGGTGTCTATTTGTTTTTCCAGTATCAAAATCTGCCGGGAGTTGAGAAAAAATAATAAGAATCAAAAAACATATGCTTACTAATATATGGTGTCACTTTTGAGATCTTTTTTGTTAAAGAAATGCCGTTTTGGAATTATTTGGAGTTTTAGAATGGTTTTACAAATAATCAATGTAACAGCTATAGAAGCAATATATATATATATATATATTTGGTGCCATTCAAGCATATAAGAGTAAGAATAATATGAAAGTTCCAGTAATCTGAAAATTACTTAAAAATTACTGTCTCCAGAATATAAAGGTCCGGAAACCACATTAATATTGTAACAGTATAACTACTACTTTATTGTTTATTTATTTTCAAAATTTGGATAAATGGGGTTATGTAAGCTTAAAAAACAAGTTACACAATTTGATCTTATCAACTATCTAAAATACTTGGCCCTCTTCTAGTCAGCTTAGCACCAGGTTATATAGCTTATTATCCTTGCCCAGGATGACACAATGGTAAATAGCCACCAGTGTGGGAAGTTCATAAGAGCTGGCTTTTACCAGGCCAAAGTGTTTTTATGTTCTAAATAATTGAAAAGACAATAAAGGCCAAGGAACATGATAGTTCGAAAAACCGGAAGTAAATAAATTTTTGTAACTAAATACCATGCTGTCAAAAAGCTTTAATTGTTTGAACAAGAAGAAGGTGAGCCAGGTGTACTTGGCCACTATGCTGCACTTATCATATGCTGACTCCCACTGTATGTGGTAACAGTTCTCTTAAAGCATACCATTTAAACCCTTGCACAAATACAGTAAATCTATAGCATATAAAAAAATTTATCATAAAATCAGCGCACAAAAGAATGGAAACACTAAAAGCGTGTCCACAGCACCTTTTTTTCAGCCTCTGTGAGTCTGTTCCATAACAGTCCAATTTTCTTGGTGATGGATTTCTCTTGCCCATGGTACATTGGCTTGAGCCTCGTGTAGTGCTCAGCAAAAAAGAAATTATAACCACTTCTATTTGACTTAGGCCGGGAGGGGTCCCTCAATGCCAGCTGGTGTCTTTTCCGTCTCCTTTGAGGTGGCGCAACAAAACTATTATGACTCTTGGACATGTCTAAGGCCATAGGAGTATGATACAGGACACCTTTCAGCTTATCTGAACCCAGACTCACAGTAATTAAATATCCATACTCAAATTTTGCATCAATGGTCCCAGTCACTGAACTGCCAGGTTCCAAGTTAGGACTCGCTGGATAACACAGAAATAACAAAATACTTATTACAACTATACAGGAAAGTGGAAACACATCCAAACACTCTTTAACAGGCATATTAAAAACACAAAAATTTAGTGAAACAACACATAAGGAGGTAACAAAGGCCAAACTTCTTTAAGCAGGTAGTCATCAGAAGCTTGCCTTGTGAAATTCTAATCAAGAAATGCAAGTAGATCATGCGTTATCAAAACCTTCTCCAGTAAGATTCTCATTAACGCACGAAATAATTCGAAACAAGCAAAGACAAAATGAATGAATAAAGATATTAATATAAAGCAACTGATCAAGAATAAGTAGTTGTAAGTTACTAAGTGGTTAAATTTGCAGGTAATTTCGAGGTCAGTAATGACAGGGAAGTTCAAATCTAAGGGAAAGTGCAAAAATGAAGCAATTTCAGAAAAAAACAGTACAATCACACTGGCCCATCTCCAATTTTATACGTGGAAGCCAGATGCACAAAATAACTCCTCGTATAGGTTATTTATGCTAACAAAAGCAAGATTAAAGAGATCTTTTTCCAACAACAATGACATGAAGTTATCCTTTCTCTGAACTTCAAGCAGTTATCGCTAATATGGCAGTGACACTGACGCCTACCCTGACCTGGAAAATGATACATACCAGCATCACCCTCAAAAGCATGCAAGGCCTCTGATCCATTGATTACCCTGCTCGCAGGATCTTAGGAGAAACAACAGAATTTTTTTTTTATTTTTTTGGGTCATGAAAACAACAGAATTAGGTATCATTGAATTATACAGAAAACTTAAAAAACAATTTAAAACAACATGAAAGTCAGTTCAAGGTACCAGCCACTGAAATAGAAGGGACTTCTTTCCGGAAGTAATAGGCCTGCTCGAAGTGATATAACAACGATAAATAGAACTTCCGTAAAACAAATGATGCACTTGTTATGGTAGATGGATTAAGACCCACAATCACGTCCTTCCATTTGCGATCTCTTATAACCTGTGACATCATAAGTAGGATGATATTCCTGTGCATAAAATATCCACAGCGAAAGGTGAACGTAAAGGGAAAAAGAAATTTAGCCCTTAGATGGCACATCAATACATCGACTTCAAAACCACAGCGAATGTGCAAATTCGGAGGATTGTAGCCTTCAGATTGCTAGATTTCAACATAAAGACACACCTTACTATTAAACTAGGAAGTTGAATACACCAGAGTATGATATTCAATGCTGATCAAAATGGACTTGCCATAGTGCAAAAACTCCGAAAATAATTGGCAACCGGGGTTTTCTTAACAGACCCAACATGCATTGGAGCAATAAGCCACCACTGTTACATTCACACTTTTGTTGCTCGGATCCTTCACATTATCAACCTTATCCACAACATACATGACATAATCACAAGGTTTGGGAAGGGGATATGCCTACCACACCTCGGCTCTAGGTTTTCATAGAGTTTGTGCCATGGTGAAGTTTGAACATTTCTCCACGTACACCATGAAAGGTCCAGTAATTTTCAAAATTTAGTACTCTACAGGATGACTCGACCAATCATAACAAAAAAAATTGATAGAAAGAATATCTCAAGAACATTAGCATATGTGGCCTTTTGTATCATCATGCTTCCTGTTTACTATTTCACATACAAAAGTCCTACACTCTTGAAAATTGGAACAAAGCACAATGCACGTTATTTCGGAACTAAACATTGATGCGCCATTTTGTTATGAATAACGTGAGAATTAGGGTGTGCTCATAGCTAAAAGCGGCACTGCCAAGCTTTCTCTTGAACATTGAGTCCACAAAAGTTCATTTTCAGATGCTAGTACATAGGGGAATGAATCATACCTTTTCAATACCACCTCGAGATGTGACCTCCACAAAAAGGTGGTGTAGATCTAAAGCTTTTCCTGCTACAGTGGGGACACTGGAAAGCAAAGGAAAAAGGAAAAGATTTGATGGAACATAAAAAGCAAATCATTACTTCCTGAATATAACCGAACTAATAAGGTTTACTACATTATATATGGCTAATACTTCCACCAAACAATCAAAACAACAATTGGTTACAAGGCGTGAACACAAACAACTTTCCCTTGAATAGCTAAATGGGGATTTCTTCACCAGAAAAGTGACCAGGGTCAAAGCTTCTTCTATTATCTGGCCTGCTTGTCTAAAGAATTGCTTTATAAATTGTAACCTGTCTCTGAGCCCATCATAGATCTGCCTTCTTAAAAATTGTGTGACCCTTTAAAATCACATGCATCTAGATTTGATGAAAAAATACCTTTTTTATACATCTCAACAATAAGGACTATTACAAAAAGGCATTTTCCCATATGTCAAACTATCATAAAGCACAACAAATCAAGGAGTGGAGCCATGACTTACATAGCAAGAAACCTAAAATGCACTATAATACTCAGCAAAAGGTCAAAACTACATTAAAAAAGCATTTATACCCTGGCAAAACTAGTTCTGAAACAAACAAAATGAGAAGGCAGGCATATAACTCACGGAAAAAGTAAGAGAGTTTCAAAGAAAATATAGATCAGACAAACATTAGATATTTTATATTCATTGGGAATTGAATGGAGAAATCGGGTTAATCACCATTCAATATTTAGAACTCCATTAATATCAACCCAAGAATAAACTGTGATGTTGTAGAGCATGAAATCGAAGCACAGAAGTGTAAGAAGAATATTGAATAACCCATACCAAAAGGGAAAATATGTCAGAAAATTACAGCAATTCACAAGGAAAGTTACAGGTATCCTCCCACGCAAAAAGAGTAAGTGTGGCAAAGTCTCACACAATAAGGAATATGAAAATATAAATCACACGTGTCCGTGAAGAGAATCAAAAGGGAGAACCCTTAAAAAAAGAAAGAAAAGAAAACAAGAAAACAGGGAAAAAAACAGCTCCACGCGACAAATACAAATGCAACTAAAAGGCGAGGAGAATACACAAAACTAACCAACCAACAGTTCCCAAAACTTTTCCTCTGATTAATTATTAGGCATATAATAAAACAGATAAAGATCCGCATATTTTTAGCAGTTCCTTACACATATAACTTAACTTAGTGCTCAGATATAAAATTAGAATACCAATGAGCTAATCTCTCTGGATTAATTTTGTAATGGATTTGCAGTGAATATGGTAGGCGGTTGATGCCTCTTCTACTTGGGTTTTCTCCCCCTTCAATTTTCTACCTTTCTTGTGGGATAATTGTCCGGGCGTAAATGCTGATTGATACAAGCACTTGAAATACTGGTCCATCCTATACAGGTGGATATTACAGTAGATGGTTTCAACCAGGAACTATTGGCGCTGTCATACATCCAAATTCAAAGTTCTCTTGGCCTGGAGGTAATTAGGCAAACTAAGAAAGTACCAGAAATAAGGGCAACAATTAACTTTAAACCTAAATTGTTACCTGGATATTACTCTATCAAGGCTACTTTATCCAAAATCCAAATTTAGACAATTACACGTTTAAATCACCAATATTTACTGACAAGAAAGAACCAGATTGTCGTTCAATATATTTTGCATAAAAACTAATTAATAATAATAAGGAATATTCTTATCTAACTTGGGATGCCATTTAGGTATCAGGCATCTGGCTAAATCTGAATGTGGCTCAAGCATCAAAAGAAATCTGGAGTTTTGGTGAAAAGGAAAAACTGTTAATATCCCATAGAGCTGTGAAGCTCAATGAAACCAGTAAATTTTTACGAACCATAGAAATTATTGTTCTTTATCCACTGCATAAGTCGTTTTTAATCCTCCAAAAAATATTGCAGACCATGAAATCTAATTGTTAAAGGCCTGATGAGCTCAGGGATCGTGCCTATGGATAACATACAGAAGATTCATTGTTAAACAGATTATAGTTCAACACAATTACTGACTTTAAAGTCTAAAGTATGTTATTAACCATGCAATAGGCCACATAACAAGCAAGTAAAAGGTTAGTGAACCATAGGTTTCTTTCTATAAAATCCAAGAATCTTTCTCTGATTCTGTTTAGCATGCAACTCTACTTAGAAACCGGAAGTAATGTCATACTCATTTATTAAATCGTACTAAGGCATTAAGTACTGCAATTCTTGTACACTAATTTTTTTTTTTAAGTTTGAACCACGGAGGTCCGAGGGTGTAATTTTATTAAATTAAATGAAAATTACACCTAGCTATGGGGACATAATAAGCCATACCCTCAATACAATCTACTCACATTGGAAACAATAATCATACACTAATTCTTTCGAAGAGATCTTAACAGTAAAGTAAAAAATGAAACCAATCATGAAAAGCATACAACACTAAATTCCTAAAAACAAAACTTTATATTCTTACTCCCAAAACTAAATTGGCTGTTATTTTTTGATATTTCCTTACCCACCAGGCCACCACAGTGTATCCATTGTGAATCTGCGATCACACAAGCCTGTTCAGCCCGCTTTATACACACAGGCACATACATGCACATGCAAATGTGTATTTAAACAAATGAATTACACACACAAGACAGTGAAAAAGAAGAGGGGTGAGCAAAAGAATTCCAGGCACCGAATAGTCCCCATCCACATTAACGTAAACTAATTTTCAGGTGGGGTAAGAATAAGATATTTATAACGTATGCCATAGGAATCAGGGTGGAAAATCATCATGAAAACATAAGGAAATTTATAAAACACTACAAATACCAAAAATCAACCTAAAATTGGCCCCCCTAAAAACATGCATACATGAACAATCTATCACTTGAATGCTAAGAACATAAATATAATGACAAAGAAAACCCACTTACCTGAACTTGGTACCGAAGGATGTGTGGAAACCCTGAAGCTTTTCAAAGAAAACATCTGGGTTCTGTTTAATTTCTTGGTATTCAGCTTCTGGTTTAGGGTAAGTCTTGGTCTCGCGGGAGCTATGGTGAGATTGGCCATATGGGCTCTCGCTCTGGGAAGGTGGTTGCGATGGACAATCTGTAGCGTTTTCAGTGGAGGCGTTGGTAGTAGCCGTTATTGGGTCGTTGCCCAGGTGGGTCGACATCTTAATCAGAAGTAAATGGAGACGATGATACCATTTACATGTAGAGTGCGGAGGAACGGGGATGAGCTTTGCTTGTTTGGTTTTTTTTTTTTTTTTTTTATTATTCGCATCTAATCACTTACTCTAACGGTGTGTAAGGCCAGCTGGAGATTTATAAACACATACACCCGAAGTTATTCGACGTGGATAGTCCAATTCTCCGATACCCGGCGTAGTTATCGTGACCGCAGGGCTTAACGGCCCAAAGCATGGGATTCTCGCCCAACATCAAACGCCGCCTACCCTACGAAGAAGTCTTGGTTTTTTTGATTCACGCTTAATCATTTACTCTAACAGAGTAAGGATTAAGCGAAGATTTATAAATACACACTCACACCTGAGGAAGAGCTTTGTGTCAGATTTTGATAGATTCGTGTCAAAAATTATTTTATTTATATTTAATTAATTTATGTCTAATAAATTATATTTTATGTCATATATATTTTTTTTTTATTGACTTCAATTTACACTTAGTTATGANTTTTATTTATATTTAATTAATTTATGTCTAATAAATTATATTTTATGTCATATATATATTTTTTTTATTGACTTCAATTTACACTTAGTTATGAGAGTTCAATGTTTCATAGAGTTCATGTTCAAGTAGACAATTATAAGTATAAATGTTGTAGTTATCATTTGATCAAAACAAGTAGTGCCTTAAACTCTTACTGTTTCAAAAATAAAATTCTTATCAGCATTAAATTTTCAAACCATGACAGTGCAATGGTATGTGTATAGGAAAAATATTTCAAAAAGCAGCAATATTATTGGAACCTAATTCATTGACTTAATTTGTTGATCTAATTCATTATGACTTTTGGATGGACTGTGAGTTCTATCAAACATTGGAACTTGGTGTTAATCCAATGGTTCTACTGAAGTCACATCATTAGATCAACAAATTATGTCGAATTTTTAGGTCCAAATAACATTTTCCTTTCAAAAGGATAAGGAAGGTGGTCCAAATCTAAATATTGTAGCCTTTATTCAGCTCATAAACCTCTTAAATAAAAAGTTACCAAATTAACTTGGAATACTTTGTGGTTTAGAATCCCATGTACCTAATAACTTCTAAACTAACTAAAATTATAATAATAAAATATAATTATTTTAATAAAAGAGTTTGGATGAAACTTCAATAATTTTGGTCCACCCTCGTCAAAACAGAACTCATTATCACCACCCCCAACGACGATAATGACGAGTTGGCTATGCTTTACTGGTTCTTCTAAATCGGAGATTCTTGACTTTGTTGGTCTGATCGCTCGGTCAATCTATATATATATATAGATATATATAGAAATTAGACANAGATTCTTGACTTTGTTGGTCTGATCGCTCGGTCAATCTATATATATATATAGATATATACAGAAATTAGACAAGGATCCGTGGCGCAATGGTAGCGCGTCTGACTCCAGATCAGAAGGTTGCGTGTTCGATTCACGTCGGGTTCAATTCCCTCCTTGATTTTTCTTTTCTTTTTTCTTCTTCTCCTTATCCAAAAAATTACTGAAAAAATTACCAATAAATCCTTTTATTCATCCAAAAGAACCATTAAGTTGTACCATCTTTACTTTACGATAATTAAGTCCTATTTTTGATAATTTATTCCCCAAAAGTTCTATATTCCATTAATAATATTTTTCTTCCAATTTTATCCTTCTCATCAACACACCAATTACATTTTTACNTCTTTTTTCTTCTTCTCCTTATCCAAAAAATTACTGAAAAAATTACCAATAAATCCTATTATTCATCCAAAAGAACCATTAAGTCGTACCATCTTTACTTTACGATAATTAAGTCCTATTTTTGATAATTTATTCCCCCAAAGTTCTATATTCCATTAATAATATTTTTCTTCCAATTTTATCCTTCTCATCAACACACCAATTACATTTTTACCAATAATGTTTATTATTATGACCCAAAGTAAATTATTTCTTTTCTAGTTAGCGTATAACACCAAAAAAAAAAAAGAATGTAAAAACATAATCTATGAATACAGTCATTTAAAAAAGTCCTATCTAATCACTTTTTTTTTTAACTTCCCTTACCACATTTTGAATTAATTAAAAAAAAGAATTATTGTTTTAAGACATTAAAAAAAAAATAGTCAAGCATTCAAAACTACGACATTGTATTGAAGAGATAAAATAAATATTAAGCCTCTTTATAANCCACATTTTGAATTAATTAAAAAAAAGAATTATTGTTTTAAGACATTAAAAAAAAAATAGTCAAGCATTCCAAACTACGACATTGTATTTAAGAGAGAAAATAAATATTAAGCCTCTTTATGCATTGAAAATGTTGTGAAATATAACTACTACGAATAAAAATTGGGCAAAACAGGTAGGTTCTTCGACGCAGATGGATTACCTTGCCGCTACCAGAAAGCTGACAAGATTTCGCAACCAAATTGAGACTAACCATACCTATTTGGCTAATTAACAAGCTAATGGCCGACCACCCGACCCACAACTGGCCACTTGACTTGATTAAGAAACATGAAATAGTATGTATGTAGGCTAAGACATCTCTCTCTCTCTCTCTCTCTCTCTCTCTCTCTCTCTCTCTCTCACACACACACACACACACACATGAAACTAGTGCGGTCACCCTGCATCAACTGTCAAATGAAAATAACGAAGCAAGAAAAGTCCACAATTCACAACTTTCTGAAACGAATTAGGGTTCCCCCAAGCACAGAAACCAAATCACCCAGTCTGGTCCTTGAGAATGAATCCCATGACCAACACTTCCTATCNGTCCACAATTCACAACTTTCTGAAACGAATTAGGGTTCCCCCAAGCACAGAAACCAATCACCCAGTCTGGTCCTTGAGAATGAATCCCTAATCCTAGTTAGTTTTTCCCATGACCAACACTTCCTATGCTCTTCTATACACCCCCCTCCTTTTCTACAGTTTCTGACACTCTTCCATAGTGAACTAATATCAGAACCAACAATGAAAATTAAAATGCCCTAAATAGTAAATTTACATCTATACCAGCTACTTATCTAGAGGATTTGCTACTGATTTCCACAGTCCCATTGCACATGAAATGAAGAAAATGGGCCACGCCCACACTTATTTGCGGAGTTCACACCCCGATCACAATATGGTATCGAGGTATGAATAGTTCTGCCGCCGGCCATACTCAAGGAGGCTACCATATGTACGATCCCACACTCCGATAAAAAGGGACTCTGTATCAGGACTGAAGGATATGCCAGATATCTCACCAAAGAAATCGATTTCCTGCTCCTTTTCGTACCCACTTTTAACATCAAAGACATGGACAAAGTCTGCGGGCTCTGCCATTGCCATGAATCTACCGTCGGATGTGTAGCGGATTGACCGGATGGCACCAAGGTTACCTTTCAGAGCAGCAACTGATTTAGACAGGTTTCGGACATCCCAAATTCGGCACGTTTTGTCCTGGTTCCCGGTGGCAAAAGTTAAGCCATCAGGGTGCCATGCTGATGCAAATGAAAAATCCAAATGCCCACTCAAGGATGCAACTGTCTGCAAAGATTAGGGTTCAAATTACAACATGCTAGAATATTCAGGCTTCTATCAAATTTGAAAAAAGGCAAAAGGAATACCTTTCCACTTCTAGAATCCACCAGCATACCATCTGGGTTGTCTCCGACTATTATAAGCAGCTTGCCATCAGGACTCAGAGCTGTATGCTGTAACAAAGAAAGAAAACACAAAGCAGCAGTCATCAATCAGCACTTAGCAGTGTAAAAGTGCCAGCCGAGTCCTCAGGCCAAGAAGTGACCTAACACTGCCAAAGCACAGGCAGAGAAAAGAAGGCAAAAATACACACCCCTTTGCACTATGACCAATTGATGCATACAAAAACATATGAACTGAAAAATGAAAGCATATTCAGATTGCAAGAATCTCTAACTCTTCCAGCCATATATTAGAATTTTTCTTTTTTTGGAGAAAAGCCTCTTGATGGTGATCGGGAAGGAGTTGAATTACTTTAAGAGTAAACTATCAGAATTTCGAAAAAAAAGTCATCCAATTCCTTCCCAATCCCCATCACCTCTTCTACTAGAGGACCACATTCAACTATCACTTCAAATCACACTTGCAAAGATCTAGCTAAAAAACAGATATCCATTAGGTCAGGAGCTACCAGGTACAATTTTCAGCAAAAATGCTATGTAGTTCATATAAGTCTACTACCCCCCTCCCCTTAACTCAAAAAAACAGATAGATAACAGAAAACTTACTACCTTTTCACTGACCCAACTGCCCTATCTGCTCACCCAGNCTACTACCCCCCTCCCCTTAACTCAAAAAAACAGATAGATAACAGAAAACTTACTACTTTTTCACTGACCCAACTGCCCTATCTGCTCGCCCAACCATTGGGTCCATGTCTAAGTAAGAGAGAGAGAGAGACTTACATTCACTGGCCAGGGAAAACGAAAATGCTTAGTAAGTTGAAATTTTTCCATATCGAAGTCTCTAACACCAGAGTCATTATTTGAGGCTATAAAATGAACTGCACCACTGGGAAATTAAACAAGACAAGCTCAGCATGGTTCATAACTAAAAGTGAGTAAAACCACCAGTAAGAGAAAGATAATACCTGGGAGTGGTATAAATATCGACAGCATTAGTGATAGCATTATCATCATAAGTTGTTCTGGAACAGAAACAAACTCCAGGTCTGTCTAAATGCTGCATTAAAAGAGTAAATAAGAATGCTTCAGCCTCAATGTTAACACTTCACAAATTCAAAAGCACAACACCCACCCCCAGAGGAGGAGTTTGACTAAATCCCCCAATTATTCAAAATATGAAGAATTGTTTTCTTTCATTCATACAAATCTGTCAGAATGCCCGAAGTGCTACAAATTTCTAACTATGTTCCACCAAGAAAACTCAGTAGTATGATTGTTTTTGCAATTGGAGGAAATTGAAAGGCAAGTTGCACATGATGAAGTGATCAGTTTATAGGCCTTGATAGATCATCGCTCACACGACGTAAGGCGGGTGGAGTGAAATTAATTAGAGTCCTCAATCTAAGGCCATAGTTAACAAGCAAAAACCGGACACCCTCAAGTGCTGTCACAAGTACACAATAGGTCATGCCCTTGAACCCGGCGCTCATGTGTACCAATTTCATGAGAACTATTTACTTCCTAGGAAATATGAACCAGAAAAATTACTAACATACCTTGCAAATGAGTTCACCCTGAAATCCTCCGGCGACTAGCAACTTATCTT